TAGACAGACGAAAGAAATTAAAGGCATAAAAATAGGAAAAGAAGAACTTAAATTATCACTATTTGCAGGTGACATGATTCTATACCTAGCAGACCCAAAAGGGTCTACAAAGAAACTATTAGAGCTAATAAATGAATTCAGCAAAGTTGCAGGATATAAAATCAACACGCATAAATCAAAGGCATTCCTGTATATCAGCGACAAATCCTCTGAAATGGAAATGAGGACAACCACTCCATTCACAATATCCTCAAAAAAAAAATAAAATACTTGGGAATCAACCTAACAAAAGAGGTGAAAGACTTATACAATGAAAACTACAGAACCCTAAAGAGAGAAATAGAAGAAGATCTTAGAAGATGGAAAAATATACCCTGTTCATGGATAGGCAGAACTAACATCATCAAAATGGCGATATTACCAAAAGTTCTCTATAGGTTTAATGCAATGCCAATCAAAATCCCAACGGCATTTCTTGTAGAAATAGAGAAAGCAATCATGAAATTCATATGGAAAAACAAAAGACCCAGAATAGCAAAAACAATGCTAAGCAGGAAGTGTGAATCAGGCGGTATAGCGATACCAGACTTCAAACTATACTACAGAGCAATAGTAACAAAAACAGCATGGTACTGGTACCAAAACAGGCGGGTGGACCAATGGTACAGAATAGAGGACACAGAAACCAATCCACAAAACTACAACTATCTTATATTTGATAAAGGGGCTAAAAGCATGCAATGGAGGAAGGATAGCATCTTCAACAAATGGTGCTGGGAAAACTGGAAATCCATATGCAACAAAATGAAACTGAATCCCTTTCTCTCGCCATGCACAAAAGTTAATTCAAAATGGATCAAGGAGCTTGATATCAAATCAGAGACACGCTGTCTGATAGAAGAAAAAGTTGGCTACGATCTACATACGGTGGGGTCGGGCTCCAAATTCCTCAATAGGACACCCATAGCACAAAAGTTAATAACTAGAATCAACAAATGGGACTTACTCAAACTAAAAAGTTTTTTCTCAGCTAAAGAAACAATAAGAGAGGTAAATAGGGAGCCTACATCCTGGGAACAAATCTTTACTCCTCACACTTCAGATAGAGCCCTAATATCCAGAGTATACAAAGAACTCCAAAAATTAGACAATAAGAGAACAAACAACCCAATCAACAAATGGGCCAAGGACCTGAACAGACACTTCTCAGAGGAGGACATACAATCAATCAACAAGTACATGAAAAAATGCTCACCATCTCTAGCAGTCAGAGAAATGCAAATCAAAACCACCCTAAGATACCATCTCACTCCAGTAAGATTGGCAGCCATTATGAAGTCAAACAACAACAAGTGCTGGCGAGGATGTGGGGAAAAGGGTACACTTGTACATTGCTGGTGGGACTGCAAATTGGTGCAGCCAATTTGGAAAGCAGTATGGAGATTTCTTGGAAAGGTGGGAATGGAACCACCATTTGACCCAGCTATTCCCTTTCTCGGTCTGTTCCCTAAAGACCTAAAAAGAGCATGCTACAGGGACACTGCTACATCGATGTTCATAGCAGCACAATTCACAATAGCAAGACTGTGGAACCAACCTAGATGCCCTTCAATAGACGAATGGATAAAAAAAATGTGGCATTTATACACAATGGAGTATTACTCTGCATTAAAAAATGACAAAATCATAGAATTTGCAGGGAAATGGATGGCATTAGAGCAGATTATGCTAAGTGAAGCTAGCCAATCCCTAAAAAACAAATGCCAAATGTCTTCTTTGATATAAGGAGAGTAACTAAGTACAGAGTAGGGATGAAGAGCATGAGAAGAAGATTAACATTAAACAGGGATGAGAGGTGGGAGGGAAAGGGAGAGAGAAGGGAAATTGCCTGGAAATGGAAGGAGACCCTCAGGGTTATACAAAAGTACATACACGAGGAAGTGAGGGGAAAGGGAAAAATAATACAAGGGGGAGAAATGAATGACAGTAGAGGGGTTAGAGAGAGAAGAGGGGAGGGGAGGGGAGGGGAGGGGGGATAGTAGAGGATAGGAAAGGCAGCAGAATACAACAGACACTAGTATGGCAATATGTAAATCAATGGATGTGTAACTGATGTGATTCTGCAGTCTGTATATGGGGTAAAAATGGGAGTTCATAACCCACTTGAATCAAAGTGTGAAATATGATATATCAAGAACTATGTAATGTTTTGAACAACAAACAATAAAAAATTTTTAAAAAGGGCTAGGTTTTTACTATTTATCAGTCTAATTCAATAATGTAATATAAAAATATTTAATAATAATGATTCATTTAGTAAGCAAGCATTATTAGAACATATTAATGGAAGCTTTTTATGGGTTATGCTGTCAATATGAACTGTATTGATAGCCACATTTATTATGTTGTAGTATATGTGACATGCATATTTTGTGCCACTAAAAATAATCAAAAGAGTGCCAGAACGAGTTTGTAACAACGCTACCTTGGTGAAGTATACATGCTTCCTCATCAGTTCGGCAGAAAAACACAGTATCAGAATTCAAAACTAATCATCTGAAGAAAAAGTCATTTTGACAAAGAGCTATTAGGAAATTCTCCATATCAAGATTGTACCTTTTATTTTTAAAACTGACATTTATCCTGATGTGACATTTTCTTAATCCCTTAATGATTTTTAGTTGAAATACCAACACACGAAGAGAAAATCATAATGTGAAGGCAATGCTCTTATTTATAAAATATGTTACTATTAGAAGAATGGGCTGCTGGTCCCAAACAGTCTACAGACCACTCAAACAATTGAGGACAATTGTTTTAAAAGCATCATTTTCTGTGCCACTATACTTGTGGTTCTTTCTCGAAAGTTTTCATTCATTTAGTTCTAAATAGTCCACAAAGTTGTGGCCAATGAAGTTCATGCACTTGTTCTCTAATTACTATTTCTAGAAATTCAAGGGAAGAACCAGCAAGTACTGACCCCAGCAATTACCCAGAAAGACAACAGGGATTTTTCTGATACAGCAAATAAAAAGTGTACCTAGAGGACCCAAGGGTTCTTTTTGCAATAAAAGCAGGCCTGTAGGCTGCTTATTCACTGAATTTCACGTCTCATTTCTAATGCTGAATTAGTGGCATATCAAATGAGTATTTGCCTCTAGGAATGATAAAAACAATAATAAAAATAATGAGTTAAATGACTGCTTTAAAAAAACAGAAAAAGAAAAGTACTTATGCCCTCAATAGGGGATCAAAAGCCTCTATAATGAAGTTTAAAAAGAAAATTCTGCCCAAGTGAAAGCAGTAAACCCAGGTACCCTTGTATTTCATTTTTAAATCCAGAAACAATATTTCAACCTTAGCATCCAGTTCTACACTCAACATAAAACTTCTCCAAATTCCTTTCAGAAGGTGGTCTTGGCTGCAATTACACTGTCTAATGACCAAAGAGAAAAATTGGATTCCTGACTGACCCTGGCAGGCCAGCTCTTTATGCTGGAATGATATAAGAGACCAGCTAACAAGACCTCACCATGCATGGCTCTAAATGTTATTGATGGCCCTAAAGCAAGTCCACCTTTTAAAAATCCCTCTGTGCGCCTGGTCTTGTTATCACCATCGGAGTGACTTACATGTCGTTGGCTTCTGATTCACAGCAAGAGTTTCCTACCGTTTGTCTTACCTTCGGGACATTACAATTTCATGAAATACTCCTCAGGTTCACATGTTAGCAGAGATGATGTTAAGTATCTGATTAGTGTTCATGCTATGTTATATGCTGTCACTGAATATCTTCTTCATTCCTCATTCCCTTTCATGAAAAATCATTCTAGTTTAAACATTCTGGGTATTTTCCAGGAACTCTGATAACTTGTGTTGCCTTTCTCAAGCCCTTTTCAATCCATCTCATCAATCAAATTTCCAAAAATCTTTGTTCTTTAATGGAAAGGTACATGCTTACTATAAAGCAGTTATTCTCAAGCACTACAGGCTCCACTCTCCAAAATTCCAGTTCAGGAAGTCTCAGTGGTGGAGCCTAAGAATTTCTAATTTCAAAGCTTCCAGAACAGATTCTCACTTATATCCAGAATTGACCAGAGTTGTGGGAAAATTGGTAATAGAAACTTGATGAGTATATCTTCTTCATTCATCCCTCTAGAAAGTCTAAAATATAGTGCCTATGTAGTCCTTTGGATAACCTGCTCCTTAATTAAAAGATGTGGAAAACATTTTCAATTTTTCCTTCTACATTAACAACTATTTCCAGGAGTCCAAAAATAAGATCACAGCCTATCAGACTGGTACACTTGTGCTTTCTAGTCACTTCCTTTTTCTCCTTTTCCAAGTAAAAAATAATCTGCACTTTCACAGATTTTCTGAAACCATCAATATCCCAAGTAGGCTACTAAGGTTCGGAATTTAGAGACAGTGTGAAAACGATTTCAGGACAATTCTTATCCTCCAATCTGCAAACACATCCTCTCTTCCCATCTCATTTTCTGGGACAAGATGGGAGAGGGGTCAAGAGAGCTTTCACAGGTGGACTCCTCTACACATCCTGATTTAGGTACATCTACATGCCAGCAGTACCATTTCAGAATGTGATGCGTTCTACTCCAAAGCACACGTCATACTAGCACCAAGACAATAAATTATATTTGTAAGCAGAGAATTACTCAGAAACTTAGGCAATAGGAAAGACAAAACCCTGTGCCACTCTGGACAATTCCAATATAAAATTTGTTGAGCAGGAACTAGTTTTAAATCCCATCACCAGATCTATTACTTCTATGCTAGTATAATGGACGTACGTGGGATGGAGGTCAGTGGCCTTGCTCCACGCCAGTCACTAATTTGCCTTGGGTTTCTGATCTGCGGGGTCTGTGGAGTTCTAAAGCCCCTTCCAATTCTATGTTCCCAAGCTTTTACAGCCACCTTACTAATGATCTATTTCTCGTTATAATTGTGTTTCTGATTCCTTCCCTATTTCTCTCTTGCAGATTTTGTTCATGGGCATGATGACCGAGTACTATCACTACTTTTTCACAACCCTGGTAAGCACATCTGGTAGAAGTATATTCTACATGATAGGAAAGCCCTCCACACAGTACTTTAAAGTCAATCCCTCTGGTGTCAAAGGCAGGATGTTGTCAAGTAGATTTGCTTTACTTTCCTAAGAATCTTCTAAATTCAGGAATGTTGAAAAGTAGGTTTATTTATCTCTTTTCTTCTCTTCTTTCCTAGCATTCTCTCCACCACTCTTTTAACTAGAATCAATTCATTGTGCATTTGGAAAGGGATGAATTCCACTACATAGAAACTAACAAAGTGCAAACTGTTCATACAGAAGCATCATTTACAATTTCCATAAACATTAGAAAGTGCACTGAAGTGTGTCTTGGCATTTTTTGACCTGATGTAGCTTCCCAGCCTGTGTCCAGGAGACAGCAGGCTTAAACCAGAGTCACCTGCCAAGTACTTGGAAAACCATCAAGAAGAGGAATTTGGGAAATGCTCTGCACGTTGAACATTTTGCATCATTAAGAAAAATTATGGCTCTAAACTTTAGAAATTAAAAAAAAAGAAATGAGTTGCCTTAAATTTTGAGACATTATCAGTTCTCAGAAAATGATTTAGAGCATTTAATATAACAAAATGATGTGATAACTTTAATTCAATCAATTTCTGAAATCAATCACATGATTTGAGTAGGGGAATCAAAAAAAAAAAATTGGAACAAAGACCAAAGAACTTTCCTACTCATCCTCTTTATGGAAGTAGTACTTGCTGATTCAAGTAACCCTGAGAGTATCCAGGGGTGCAAAGGATCTCATGAAAATAATGCTTTCGGATAGTCGTAAAATCATTGGTGCTACTGAGGCTGGGGTGGAGAAGTGGGGTGCAGGATATAAGAAAACAGTTTGAAATGATCATGTTAGTCTTTTATAAATGTGAGTCAGTTTACACAGTTCTGGTTTATACCCAGCTTCATCTCTCATGAGAACACTGGTGGGTTAAATCCTTTCCATGAAGCATTGTCCAAAAGGGAATGAGTTCCAGTGTCACAGATATTCTTCTGACCACATGCCCATGTACTCTAGTATATAGAACCCTTTGATTCTATTCTAAGCACATATTCGGTAGCACTCTTTATGTCCTCATTGTATGGAATATGAGGGATCTTCAGCAAGCTAGAGATAAGGTATTTCTTCCATCCAGGAGTGATCTTCTTATCAAATAAATATGTAATTTCCAAATTTCACCTCCATGGGAAGTCCTGGAGCAGCCTGAAACAGCAAATGATGGAGAAAGGTGATACTACAATTGACCAGTGGATCATTCTTAACTTTGTCATGTCACCAAAAAGAACTTCAGTCTCTTCACTTATAAAATAAACACATTGAACCAAATGGACACAAAGACCCCTTCCAGATCCCCAAACACTACATCTTAGGAAGATAATTCTAAGATTCGCAGAATGTCACATTCTATGCCCAAGGATATACCTATAATGACAGCCAAATTCCTCTTCTTGCTGTATCTAAGTGCTAACGGTAATGCAGAAAAATGAATAAAAATGAAAACTGCTTACTGTCTTAGAGTTTCTCAGGCAGCATGAGAAACAATGAGAAATGTGTGATAATGGCTGCCAATTTGTTTTAATCTATTTGTTGCTTCGGCAATAACTTAAGAAGAAGATGATGTTAATTCATTTCATTTTTATCATTTTTAATACTGCACAGGACTTATTTGCTTTAGATCTGGAGCTCTATAGGTACAGTGGCGTAAATATGACTGGGTTCCGGTTGCTCAACATTGACAATCCTCATGTGTCATCCATCATCGAGAAGTGGTCCATGGAGCGCTTGCAGGCTCCCCCAAGGCCAGAGACTGGTCTTTTGGATGGAATGATGACAGTAAGTAGTTTTAAAATAAAATCATTTGAGACAATGCTTGAATTCCTCAAGGGACCAGGCTAAGAATCTTGTATGCCTTTTAGACTGTGAGAAAATGATATTATAGTGTATGTTTTCACATGTATGAGAGAAAAAGAAGTAGGCTTTTTGTGTATTTTGAAAGGCTATGCCTGGCTAGTATCAAAAAATCTGCTATTTAAAGCTTCTCAATTCTACTGGCCTCAGAGAAAGAGTTGACAAGGGTAGCCACGGCCATCAACCAAATGAAGAGAAAGCAGGAACCAAATCAAGGGCACTTGAAGAGAGATTTGCCCCTGGGAATGTGGCCATGGGAAAGGGGGAGGGAGGGAGGGAGGGAGGAGGAACAACCTGCCTATAAAAGTTAGGCAGAAGAAGTTTGCCTTCCTTATTTCTGCCACATCTCAGCAAGTGGAAGCAGATGTGGAAAAATGCCAGATTTGCATACAGACTGTGCGTTCACTTTCTCCCTGCCCTGGATACATATAGGCACATCTCTGCAGACACTGACAGTGCTTAACACCAGCCATATGTTGCTCTTGAAGCAGATGCCAAGCCTGTCTCCTTAGAAGTCAGAGGTACTCTACTGAACAGGAAAACTGCAAACTGCCTCATCAAGAGAGACCCTCACTAACATCATTTGTCTCTTGTTGTCAAATGTACCTACCCTCACTTCATTTCTCTAACGAAGCTCCCTGGGTGATGAAGAAAATAAATTTAAAAAAAAAAATACTTTCCATGTAGGAGCAGTGGCATCTAAGGGGAAAGATATCGGGAATGTGAGCAGGTAATAGCATTTTAAATTGGCATAGTATTTCATTCTCTGTTCCCAATCATAGAGAGAAGCACTCTTGCTTTTAAGATGCAATTTACTGATAACTAAAAGATACCATCTCACAGAGAAATAAACTTGGGATTTTTTTTTCCTATGAGGAACAAATGAAAAGAAGAAATAAATGAATGAATTTAGTGGTTCTGGATGATTCCATGTTCAGAGTTCCTGACTGTTTTTCAAACCTGAAATAACTCATAAAACACACAGCGATCTGAGAGATAATGATGGGAAGCATTTTGGTACAAATGAGCCTTGAGGAGATTTAAAACCTTGCTTTGAATAAGAATAAGTAGAGAATATCAGTGTAACACCAGAGAGGGAGAAAACAGTAGAAAGAGGCACTGTCAGCTTTTCTGTTCTTTCTCTTGGATTTGTAATTCTAGTGAATTCAAATATGATTCAAAATCCTCTACCCACCTCCAGGCCTTCCAACAAGATTTCTACCATAGGGTGAGCTTTCCAATCATTTTTACCTGTGCTTGGTATATATAACTAAGGAGTTATCGTTTGAAGCTGTTTTAACAGAGATTATGGATTCATGCCAAACATTAAATATTCATCACAAGTATGGCTTAATTTACCCAAAAAAAGTAGCTGTGTGTTCAATTATACTGAGCTGACAGACTAGTTCATACACATCTGTGGAGATGAGGAAGATCAGAGAACGAGGGAGACAGGCTTTGCAATTTATATGGAATCACTAAGGTGATGCTTCCAGGGGCCTGGGTTAATGGCAAGCTTACAGGCAGCAAGCACAGCAGAGCTGAGTCCCAAAGGACAGGAGACACCCTAATCTACTTAGGTGTCTACTTTATTGCTGTCATCCCACCTAGAGAGGCGTTTCAAGGCTGAGTTCTTATTGTTAATATTAGGAACTATAAAAAGGAAAGCGGGGACTTATTAGACCAGAAGAAGGTGGTTCACCACAGTGCTGCAAAATGGGTAGAATAACAATACCAGATCACAGTAATACCAGTCAAAGAAAAAAAAAAAAGAAGGTAATAGGATGTAGCATCCACTAACAATCTGAACCCACAGTTGTGCAGATATAACTTTGAAACTGACAATGTGACGCAGAGTATTGCTCATTATCTATCCAAAGACTCTGCCTTGCCCTGTACCTTCTTCTCCTGTTTTTCCTGAATGTGGCTACATTAGAGAAATGGAAACTGAGTCATGGAGCATGAAAGGCACACATCTGGGGACATTCAATGGACCAATCACGGAACTGGGCCAAGAGGGCACACCCCATGTCCCCAAGTTCAGGCCCAAGGCTCACAAATCTTCAGTTGCCTCTACTGAAACTCTTTCTTTTCTAGCTTAAAGATGACAAGCTCTTGGGTTGCAGTTTCATTAGGTCTCCATATGAGACCCTGCACTCGTCCATTCTTGCATGTCAAGTGCTTGTTGCTCGCCCTGCCCAGAGCCCGCCACTATCCAGGCTGCTCAAATGCTGCCTTGCCAAGGGAGACTTATGAACATAGCTGCATATTAGTGGTAGCTCTTCTCTGTTGTTCTGTCCACCTTGCCTTTTCTTCATAACCCTTATGGCTTCATACCCTATGTTTTGGTTTGTTGGTTCCACGCCTTCCCCTACAGGACTATAAATTTCATGAGGACAGATACATTGTCTTTTGGTACTCCACTCTGTCCCCAGCACTAGAAAGGCCTATCACAAAGTAAATGTAAAGTTAACAAAGGCATTACTGTACTAAATGAATATGAATTAACCTTCCATTGAGATATACTATGTTAATAAAAAATAGTCAAGTACCTGTGAAATATTTCTTTTTTTTTAATTTTTTATTTATTTTTTATTTTTTATTGATGGTTGTTCAAAACATTACAAATTTCTTGATATATCATATTTCACACTTTGAAAGATTTCTACAAAAGTCTAAAGAAAGTCCCTAAAATAAGAAATATAGCCAGGCATGTTGGCACATGCCTGTAATCCCAGTGGCCCAGGAGGCTGAGGCAGGAGAATCCCAAGTTCAAAGCCAGCCTCAGCAAAAAGCAAGGTGCTAAGCAACTCAGTGAGACCTTGTCTCTAAATAAAATACAAAATAGGGCTGGGCATGTGGCTCCATGATCAAGTGCCTCTGAGTTCAATCCCCAGTACAGAAGAAGAAGAAGAAGAAGAAGAGGAGGAGGAGGAGGAGGAGGAAGAAAGAAAGAAATATGCATGAGTAACGTAGATAGAGGTTACTTTAAATTAATACGATTATTTTTAAAACTTCTCATAAACTAACCAGCCTTAATGTCATTACCATAAGTAATTGTGAGTACTGCCATTACAATAAGAGAACTATATTCTCTAAAATCCTACTTATTTTCCTATTATTATGCAAGGTAAATATCCTGGTAGCCTTTTATAGTCATACTTTTCCAGGTGCCACATACATTTAGAGATGTTTATATAAATATATAATATAGGAATTAGGAAATAATATTAGAAAAGCCCATATGTTTTTACTTCTATCCTAAGACTTTCCTATTTTCCCTTAAGTCTTTTATTTGAAAAGTCTTAGAAATTCATACACTGAAAAAAAAATCTCAAAGAATATTCTCACATATGTCAAAACACATTCAAGTCTGAAAATGGAGATGTCAGTCATACCCAAGTTCAAAAACTCTTGACTCTAGACCTAAAAATAGATTTAATTAAAGAGAAACATATTGACTTTAAAAATACAGTTAAAATTAGTTAATTAAGAAAACTGTTACTGAGTGAATAGAGTTAGAAAACAGTAGAACTCACTATTAAAAAACATCTTGAGATTTAAAAAGGACGTTTTATCAATTAAAGTGTTAACATTTGGGAAGTTTAGTGTACTTTTCTTTTTTAAATCTACTTCATTCCTTTCACTATGTTTAATTTGTTCCTACCTGTTGGCTTTGGATATAGATAGCATAATGGAGTGGCCCATTCCACTTACATGGATTCTCTTCTGATGGGGGACCAAAGCCGTGAATAACTCAATTCTGCACAGAAGCCACAAAACACTGATTTGCCATCTGCCTTCTCAGTTGCTCAAATGCACTCACAGGGTGAAGTTGATTCAGCAGCTTTACCCTGATCTCTGCCATGTACCATTTCCCATATTGTGGTCCACAGGGAAGATACCTTCAGAAAAAACACCTTGAGTCCCCACTGCTACTCCTGTAATGAAAGACAATAGGAAGCTGGATTAGTAGAAAAATGAAGATCTTTCAGGTGAGGAAAGCTTAGGTTTAGGACTTGGCTGTATCTCCTGAATACAACTAGGTGATCTGAGCAAGTTATTTAGCCTCTCTGAGTCTGTCTGTTGGCTTATAAATCTGTATAATAATACTTTATCGTATCATTCCACCACTTAAATTAGAGAACATACACAAACCTTCTAGAACATAGAATTTATTTTATAATACTAGCTGTTTTGCCAATAGTCAACAAAAGAACAAGACATTCTGAAATGACAAGGCAGAATCCTATTCTGCCTTTTTCAAGAAAGAGTCTATTTACTTGTAGGAGACCCATCCCTTGTGTTGTACCAGTAACCCATGATGGACCCTTACCTGGGACCTGTATGACCTTGTATGCCTGTGCAATTACTCAGCTATTTTCTCCACCTCCACATATAGTCCTCTTTCACCTATTGCTTAGTCTCTCTCAAAAGTCAGTAAATGTTCACTGAGATTTAAATTATGCCAATCTCTCTTGCCAAACCTCACTAAACCTGCTGGAGTTGCTGTCCTAATTACTGAATTTCTTGATTGTGAATATATGTTGATCTCTTCACCACCTTCTCAAACCCATTTCCAAATCCTGCTTATATGACTCTTCCCTACCTCCTGGGTGTTCAGGTGCTCAGGATGAGCAATGCCTCCTCCTCTGCCATTTTGGCTTCCTCAGCAGCATCCACTTCCACAGGCATGTGCTCCACAGCAGGGTTCCTGAAAAGTACTAGTCCTCCACCAGTACCCAAATCCTCATCACTTCAATGAGACAATTCTCAGAAAAGAGGAAATCTAGCCAACTGTGTTAAGTGGGAAATTCCTGTTAAAGCTACCATGGGTTAGATAATTTGGATTTTAAGAGAGGAACTTATTAACACCAAGCCAAAGAGACAGGTCAGGAAATTAGAAAGAAAGGATGTTATTTGGAAGCACTTCTCTACTAGAAAATTGCCTTGTCCATTCATATCAGGTTTTCAAATGTTTCCAAATTGGGACAGAAAATGGGAAACCTAGCTTCTTGCCCATTTCCTCCCCAAAGAAAATATCTCTCTCTAGAATTCTGATCTCCTCCAGCTTTTCCCACTAGCAATTACATCCCAGCTAGGCACTAAAGCATGGGGACATTATAAGGCCATATAATCCTGTCCCAAAGGTGAGATGACATTCATTGGTTTGTGTTAGAAGTCCCCACAGCCATCCTTGGTTTGATGGTTTGCTCAAAAGATTCATAGAACTTCTACTCACAATAACAGTTTATACAATAAAAAGTTACAGAGTAAAATCAGCACAGGAAAAAGTCACAAATGATTGAGTTCAAGAGAAGCCAGGCATGAGCTTCCATGTGGTTTTTCCTAGTGAACTCACTTAGAAAGCATTCAGTTCTCAGCAATGATGTTTGACAATGTGCATGGTATACTACTAACCAGCGATACTCACTCAAACTTTGGTGTCCAATGTCGTAATTGGAGGCCATTCACATAGACATAGAGCACCCACATAGATACCTCAGTCTCCATAAACTTAATTTAGAATGAAATTTGACTTTCCTTTTCAAGCTGCCTCCAGATTGGTATGGACAATAAAATGGTTCAAAATTATAGATCTGATCAGTGCTTTTCAAATCCAAAGAAAACCATTAATTCTAAAAGCATGCTGCTCCTTGACATAAAATGTGTTTTAGATGGGGGAACATTTATACTATAGAGCACTAATAAACCACCGTGGCATGTCCTCCTCTTTTCTGTTTAATGCTGGAGGGCTGCATACTGAACAGAAACTCTCAAGTCATTTTTGATAATAGGTAATGTAATAGACATTGGTTAGGTTTAAAATTTTCTTCTTCCAAATGTGTTTATGCTCACATTTGATATATATCAAAAGCCTGGGTGAAATCACATTGCTCAGTGCTCCTAAGAAAAACTTTTTACCACTACCAGTATCATGAAATAAGAATACACAATGTTTGGTTATTACAATTTGCAGTAAAGCATTAGCTCAGCAGGCTTGGGGGTGCCCAAGGCCTGCACGTTCCAAAGAAAGGATAGCCCTTGACTGGCTCCTGGGATATGACTTTTAAGCCTTTGGAAAACCTTATCTGATAAGAAAGTTTCTGTATTGCTGGGGTCTTGGGTCATCCAGACAATGTACACTAATGTGATTATGGTATGTGTCTGGGGCTCTGAACCATGCTGTATCAATTTACACACACACACACACACACACACAAAGAAAGAAAGGGAGAGATATGTATGTGAGCATCTGAGAATTTTACTTACTATTCTTTAAACAACACAGTATAACAATTATTTACATAGCATTTACATTGTACTAAGTGTTATAAGTAATCTAGAGATCATTCAAAATATATAAGGAGAATGTGTGTAAGTTACAAGCCAATACTGCACCATTATGTGCGGGACTTGGGAATCTTCAGATTTTTGCTATCCAAGAAAGGCCCTGAAAGGAATGCCCCATGGATACTAAGGGAAGAGTTTGCAAATTCAAATTTGTAAAAGAGTGTATTCTGCTGATAAAAAGTCTGGATTGCCACAGTGCAGCAGCTATGAGTGTGAATTTTAAAATCTGAGTTTGCATTCTGAGTTGGAATTCTTACTCCTTTTCTTACTAGCTATATAACTTGAAGCAAAGATTCAATTTCACTGTCTGTAAATGGAAACAATGCCCATTTCAAAAGTTTGATTTTTAGCAATTAAAGGTTCTAACATACTTAAAATGCTTATGGTACCTGGCATGTAGAAAAATGTCAATGAATATTAGCTATTATTGTGCTTTTACTGTAATGATTAAATCATTGGACAAGTAACTTGGTTAAAAAGTAACACACTTTCATGAATAAGAGCATACACTCCGTTACCAAATTATGGGGCTTCAGTATTGGTTTTCCCACCATTAGTTTAGTTTCCCACCATTTAACCTCTTCATTTCTTTTCTATAATGGAGTAAAAGTGATGGTGAATATTTAGTGTTTTTAAAGGACTCATGACAGGACTTGAAATACAATAAGTTCTCAATAAATGCTTTTGATTGCATTTTACAAGATCTCAATCTGTCAGTAGCTTGCTTTCTCCCAATAAACCCAATTTGAAATGGCAGAGTGGTGAAAAACAATGGGTGCTAGAATGAAGTAGCCATGAATTTAAAGTCTGCCATGCAACTGATTAGCAGAGTAGACTTTTCCACTTATTTTCTATGAGCCTCAGTTTTCTCATCTACAAAATGAATTATGTCAATCTTGAATTGAAATTATAAAGCATTTTTAAGCTTTAGTAATTGCCACCACCTCTATATGATATTTGCATGTTATATAGGTATGAATGAAATGATTAATCTTAAAACTTTGGAATTATTCACCTTATTTTATTATTTTGGGATTATGCACCTTATTTTATCTGATAGTATTAAGTAACATTAATGCCTTCAGTGAACATTTATTAAATTGTTTTTATGTACCAAGAACTGTTCTAGGAGTTGTATGCAGTGGTGCATGCTTTTAATCCCAGTGACTCAGGAGGGAGAGGCAGGAGCAAGTTCAAGGCCCCCCTCATGAACTCAGCAAGGCCCTAAACAACTTAGCAAGATCCTGTATCTGAATAAAAATCAAATGGACTGAGTATGCACAGAAAAATAAGGATTCAAAATAGAGGTATCAGGCTTCAAAGATTGACAAGACAAAATATATATTAATCTCTATTCTCTCTTTCACCTCCATCAAGACATAATCAATGCATAGCAAGTGGTGAATGAATCAACTAATTGCAAAAAAAAAAAAATTGGATTCTAGGTTTAACTCTGACAATTATTCACTATATACTTATGGCCCTCCACAAATCAATATCCTGCCTAGAGGTCATTTTTTTTTCACATAATAAATAGTTTTATCTATCTGTACTGCTTATTTTGGAGATTTGAGAATTTCAAATGAGTTAATAATGTATTTAAAGTTGCAATGAAACCCCTCCAGTAAAATGTGAAGGTATTTTAATATTTTATCCCCAAAGAAAACCACAGAGCAGTATATCTTATAAAATTCTGTAAGCATCATATAAAACTTTGCAAATGAGAAGAATTTCATGAGGAATGGAAGAAAATGCCCGGCTCCAAGGAAGAATGACTACTTTCAATCTCTGTCAGGGAAATACCTGCTGGCCTGAGCCAGCATATTCTAATTCACATGGATATTCCTCAGAGGGTCTTCCCAAACTTGCTCTTGAACTCAATTCTCTGACTTCAGCTTTCTCAACCCTAGTAAACAAAAGTGACATCACCTATTAGTTTAGAAATCACCTATTAGTTTTAGTTACAGGAGTTTCTTTCTACCAAATATAAACCAGTAAATACATAAATAAATGTAGATAAATTCTGAGAGACAAAATCTGGTTGTGAATTAGTGAGCTTATGTAACTTCTAGCTCAGGGTAGTTGATCTTAACACCATGCTTAACATGGAAGATGCTCAAAAATATTTGTTTCCTGAATCAAGTCTTTTGTGGCTAATCTGAGTTGCTCTCTTTTTTTAAAAGAAGAATTCCAAACAAAACAGATGTGACTCCAAATTGCTCTGGAGTGCAAAGTATCATTTTGGAGACAAAGAGCTGTCAGAGAAGGGAAACTGCACAGCTGAATAATAAGCTGTTTTTGAGATCAGATAGATAAAAGTGAAGAAGCAAGAGGAGTGGACACAGAGGTAAAGGAAGGTAAGAGAGGTGGAACTGAAGATCTCATGTGTGTTTTCCTCCACAGACTGAGGCAGCTCTGATGTATGATGCCGTGTACATGGTGGCCATTGCCTCCCACCGGGCCTCGCAGCTGACTGTCAGCTCCCTACAGTGCCACCGACACAAGCCATGGCGCCTTGGACCCAGATTTATGAACCTGATCAAAGAGGCAAGTGGTGGTCTCTTGCAGCCCAGTCAGCCCCTCAGCTCAGCACTGCTCTTTCCCACATGCTTCTGTTGGCATGATGCTTACAGGAGACGGGAAGCCATTGTCAGCCAGTCCTCTCAGGTCTCAGTGTCAAAGATTTGCCTAGAAAACTTTTAAGAATTTTCTAATGTGATGCTGAGAAGTTCAAAGAAGCTGTCAGGTCATAATTCCCTCTCTTGAATTTCAGCCATGATGCCAGCTACTGCAGGCCCTCACGGGAGCGTGTTCCCAGTGTAGTAAGTCAAGAGGAGGGTTTGTTCATTGCTGAAGGGTAACAGAAAAAGAAAGGTTCTACATTGTCAGGCATGATTCCTGTGGCTCCTAAAGCTTGGGCTATCCAGCACCCATAAAGCTACCTCTTTATCTTAATAGTACTGTGATTATTTTGCAATTTCTTAACCAATGAGAAGACTTTAGTCCTAACTGAGCTTATTCAGCACAACAGGGCAAGGGGAGTTCTTGGCTAGTGTCCTGGGATCCCTTACATCCCCTACAATGTCCTATTCTTTATAGCACTGTAACTTTGCTTCCAAAGACACTCTTCTGCGAACACAAGACTCTATATGTACGGGGTCTTGGATTAAATTTGTCTCCAACTTGCACCTTAGGGTCTTTATGGACTGTGAAATATAAAATAAGACTCTCGGGAACAGCCAGGCCTGACTAAACATGCACCATATTCCGTGACAGGCTTCGGTATTTTCTCTGTGGGATACAGAGATTTGCCTCTCAAGTAAAGACCATCTTTGATCTCCATACTAGAGGAAGATGGAGTAAGTCAAACCCCTAGGTGAGAAGAATTGGGTGGGGAGATAGTACAAGAGAAAAACTAATGCATTATCCTAAGGAAAGATGCCTGCTTTGGGCTCAATCTCTTCTGGTCTCTAAAGCACCTGCAGACCCTCTTTCAAGCTGTTCAATCCACTTCCCATTAAAGGCTGACTCAAATTCATAAAGATGAGGACGAAACTGGCAGGATGTGTAAGGAGTAAGTCCCCAGCCTCCAAAACAAGGTTGCTTTCAAGACTGGGACTGGGGTGTGAATGAAGGAAGCCCTCACTTTTAGGTGTAATGCCTGCACTTGCACAAGACTGAGAAGGACTTCTTCTTTAAACACTGTGACTCTCTTCTTCCTAGTCCCAACAGTGACTATCTGCATTTATATCCCAGCTCTACGAACTCTCATGAGCAATAGAGTCTGGGCAGGTTATTTAACCTGTGTGGGAACACAACTATCTACCTCTCAGCATTATTATGTGCATAAAGAGGAAGACTACTGCTCATGAAGAACAGTGTAGGAGCCCAATAAGAATTTGAGGTATTAGCTATTCTCTAGGCAAGGGAACAAACCACTAGCAACAGTTGACTGAGAGAATGGTTTCAGGAATTTAAAACTGGCAACAACAACAACAGCAAAGAAATCACAAATAGGCATGAAATGAAATGCCCTTTCTGACAGCTACATAAATCTGACACACTGTGCCTAATAGAAAAACATCACATGGCCTCCTCTTCTCCCCACAGTGATCATGGTTATGGCCTCAATTGCCATCCTGATTACCTTGATCTTTAACACGAGAACAGCTGGTTCCCTTTTATCTCGTACCAGTGCAAGGAGAGGCAAAAGCTACATAAAAGCTTGAGATCAAACACTCAGAGCACCCCAAGCACCTTTTTGCTTGTACTTAAGTTGCATAAGAAGGTGAAATTACCAAGCTCCATTTAGGCATGTTTAAAGAAATAATGAGCTCCAGCATGAGAGACCATATTGAAAGCAAGAAAGCATTTTATATTCATTCACTCCAAAGAGCAAATTCCCCATTCTCGGGCTCCACAGTTGGAGGTGAAAGGAAGGATGTGGGGGAGAATGCATCAGCAATCCTCATCACCTTTGTTCACATCCTCTTTTGTCTCGTGAGATACAGAGCCATCTGCTACCTTTGGCGGGATATAGGTACCTGCCGAGAAGATGGGTTGTGGGAGTGGGTAACCAGGAGCAATGCCCCAGCCTGTTGGAAGACTGGCACAGAGGAAATTCTGAGACGAACTAAAGCATGCAGAAGAGAAAACGCAGGTGTTTCTTTAGATGAGCACACGACTCAACAAAACTTTGCAAGTGCAGAGTTTTATTAGGAAACGTGAAATAAGGCACTTAGTCCTAAAACTTCCCCTAGTCCTTTCTTTTAGGAGTTTCACTTTCCAAAACTAGAATTAGAAAGAATGTAAAAGAGAAAGTCAGCGGATTGAATTTATGGGGTGAAGATCAAATTTGTCACAGGAGGTAAACTTCCCGAGCAGAGGTGGTTGCACGTGTACTAATCCCTGATAAATGCACATTGTTCAGAATCAGGAAGCCTTTCGGATGTGTATCTCAAGTTGCCTATCATTCATTGTTTGAAGCTCAGTGGAGACAGGGGAGAGAAAAAGAACATTTGAAGCATGAGTGAGTATAATATAGTGTTAGTGAGTATGATATAGTGCTGGGCATTTGCAAAACAAGTATGTTTTAAGAAATGACAAATTCCCATTTAACAAGAATTACTGGAAGTCCATTATGTAAATTATATGTATAACTTGCACTCTGAAACACACCACACACACACACATACACACACGCATACACACACACACACGGTGTGGTGCTGAGGATTGAATCTAGAGCCTCGCAGATGCTAAGCAAATGCTTTATACTGAGTTATACCCCCAACCCTCTATGTACGTACTTGTAACTTGTCATCACACAGGCTAGTCCTTCTCCAAAATAGCAGATATGAACTCTGTCATTCACTAATATAAATTCTACATTGTTAAGAAATTATAGGTTTCATTGAAGCTTTCCTATACCACTGGGTAAATCCTATACCCTTGATCAGGTTATGTGGGGGTCTCTAGAGACCTTGCCTCTGATCCCCCATGCCATCTCTCTCATCTCCTTCCCAGTCTCCAACACTTGCTAAACTTGCTGGACTCCCTGAACTTGCCATATAATCCTGTTAAATTTTCTTCCCTCTGATTGAAAATTCCATCCTCCACTACATAATACTTTATGTCTCAATGCAAGCAGTAGTTCCTGTCTTCTGGCCTTGACTCACAAATGTGGGTTCCTTATCTCCACTCCAGCTGTTACTACACTGTCATTTTTTTGAGGGGGATGTCTGTTGTTAAGCTATGCTATTCCAGTCTCAATTTCCTAGATTTTCACAACAATGGATGAAGAGTAAGTGCCCAATAACATATGAATTTATTATCAAATTAATGATTGAACAAAGAAACTTAAGAACACATGCTTATAGCCTGTATGTGAATGTAATTGCTCTAGGACATACTCAGTGCATGAATATCACATCCAGAAACAATTCAAGAAGGCAGAGAAAAGGGATGGACCAGTCCTGTCCCAGGCATGAATTCCAATGGGACAGTGTGGCAGAGGTCTTAGGAATACAGCAACCCATTTAGCTGTAGCACTGGCAACACAGGACGTGAGATTCAATGGCAGTGATATCAGTGTGAACTTAGGTCATTTACCTTCTTTGTTACTCAATTCCTGCTTCTATAAAATGGGAATAAAAATATCCATTGCACATGCTTGTGTGGATTACATGTAACACACTGCACATGCTTGTGTGGATACTATGTAAAACCTAGCAAAATGTCTCTCATGCAGTTGTTGCTCAGAAAAGAGTAGCTACCATCAAATAGAAGGTTCTGTTAAAAGTGTGTACCATGGAAGGTGGTGACTTGTCATCACACGGGCTAGTACTTCCCAAAAATGGCAGATATGAACTCTGCCATTCACTAATATAAATTCTACAGAAGAAATGAGGCAGTGAATGGAAAACATTAAGTATATCGCCAAGCATATTGTAAGCACTGCATGTTTGCAGTTAGTATTTCTGGTGTCCTGTCATTGTTATTTTGACTGGAGTCTAGGATGATATACTAGTGTTTTGCAAAAAGAAGGACAGTGGGAAATCAGGAGTTGCCGCGTCCGGCCAAGGGAGCCGAGTCCGGCGAGGGACGGCGAGGTTAAAAGACACACAGGACACCAAGGTTCTTCATCCAGGAGTCAATAATAATCTTTATTGCTAACACACCTTTTTTTATACCCCAAGCAGCAGAAGTGGAAAACTACCCAAAAGCAGGAGGGAGGGGGGAGAAATTTAGTTTCAACATCTATTATTGTCAGGTACCGAAACCTCCCTTAACAATAAGTCCATCAGACCAGAAAAGGTCAAGGCATTCCCGTGGGATACATATGTCTCAGACGGATAAGCAGGAACAGAAAAACCGCAAGTTCGCCATGGCCTTGTGAGCTGGCCACACTGGCATGCAGAACAAACTAGTGGAGGTAGGGCTCCAGGGGCCAAGGTGGACCTGTTGCCAACAAGTCCCCCTCTTTTGTTTTTTGCATGCCAGTGGGAATCAAGTAGCCCCTGTCTTAGGTCGTTCACAGCCCTTGCGATGCTTACCCGTCTCTGGGAAGGCCCCGATTCCCTGGCTTAGGTCGCACAGCAAGCGTGAAAGTTGCCCGTCACTGGGTACTACAAGATCAGCTCAAGGTGTTATGACCTATCAAGACATTATTGCGGTAAACGCTTAACCGTCTCCACCTACGGGACCCACGACCGTCACCGCCGAATGGCAGATGTGATTGGACCGAGAGATTAGACAGCAAAGATCCTAGTACAGGAAAGCAAGAGGGAGAGGTATGCATAGAGAAAAGATATGGCAGGAGTTCTTCTTTTAAGGAGGACACTCATCTTCGGATCGGTCTGAAGTATATCTCAGAGGGGCGATCATCCATCTTCAAGCGTTGATAGTGAACCTGTATCGGCTTAGAGGCTAAGATATTAATTTGATCCTTAATGAATTGTACTATCTTATTTACAATGCAGGGTCCTATTGCCACTACTAGAAGGAGGCCTAACAATGGTCCCAATAAGGGAAGAAGATAAGGCAAA